TGCAAAAACCAAACGGATTTAGGAAAAACTATCAATTGGTATCTTTGTATAAAAGTTCACTTACAGATTTAGTTTTGTTGGGTAGTGAAGTTTGGTTCTCCTTATCGTGCAGCTCGATGATTCGTGCACCTTCATGTACCTGAAATTCGTCTTTAGCAACTCCGCAACTATCATGATCTCCCGATTCATTATCCTCCTTGATGTCAGCGCTATTGACTTCGTCGTCATTTACCGCATCCTCAACGTCTGCGTCATCAACATCATCAGCATCAGCATCCTCATCCTCAATGCCATCATCATCATCATCATCATCGTCGTCGTCTTCACCGACAGCGATGGCCGCATTCAGTTGCTCCAGCGTCTGTTGCTGCTGCAGCGCCTGCTCGCTGTCATGAGCAGCGATGGTTTGCTGCAGTTGCATCAGCTGTTGGCGCATCTGTTCCATTTCGGTCTCATGCGCGATTAGCTGCTCCTTATGCTGCGCAAGTCGCTGCTCCTCCAGTTCCTTAGCCGCTTGCTGATGACGCATCGTCTCCTGCTTGTAGTCCATATACTCCTGCTGCAGCTGCTCCAATCGTTCGTTAAAGTCCTGTAAAGTTTGCTTCGAACTTAAAATCTGACTGCGCAATATACTGCACTCATTATCCGATGTGGTGTAGGCCATCTCCATCTTCGACAGCATTTGCATGGCATCGCAACGATCCTGATAGACCTTGCGCAGCGCCTCTTTGGCAGTTAGCTGATACGAGGTCTTATCCTCAAGCAATTTAACAACCTGTCCAAATAAACGAATAAGAAAGCTTAGTATCATCTCTCATAATGGCTCCCAAAAGTATACTACATCAAAATCCATTCCATCTCCGAAGCCCCACCACACACTCACCTCGTTGCGTAATGTATTCTCGGGCACGTTCTTCTCCATCATTTGCAACTTCTTCTCGAGCAGATTGATCTTGTGCAAGAGCTGATCCTCGGTGATCATGCTCTGCCAGCACATGGCCGAGTTCTTACGCGTCGAATCGAGCACGCCCTGCAAATTGCTGAGCTTCGCTTTCAGCATCTTCTCACGCTGCGCGGCCTCCTGTAGAAATGCATTGAGTCGCTGTATCTCATCATAGCTAATCCGGTTTGGTCCCGTCAACTGCAACTGCTCTGACTCTATTGAGATGGCCTCCCGTCCGTCGGGCAAATACAGTGTCACACGGGCAATAATGCAGCCGTGCACCTCCTGACGCGAATTCTCAATCACCTCAACGCCAAACTTGACGATATCACCATTGTGCAGCTCGGCCGGCTCGTTGCCCAGCTTGTTGTCATTGATGAAGGTGCCGTTGCTCGACTTGGTGTCCTTCACCCAGAAACGGCCGTCGGTCGTATACCAAAGCATGGCATGATTGCGCGACAACACTTTACAATCGAATATGGCATTGTTCTCGCTCGCCTTGCTCTTGGCAATCAGACGCCCGACCTTGCACTCCTGTCCCGGTGCCAGCAAAATGTTGCGCGTCTCAAACTTATGCGATTTCAACTCGCATTGTAGCACAATTCTGGCCTCACCGGGCGACATGTCCTGCACGTTGTTGAGTAGCGTATTCGAGGCCTCATTCGGCAATTGTAAGGCACCCATCGAGCTGAATAAATTTCCGCCCGTCGTTGTATTATTCGCATTTAGCACCGAATTCATGGCCATGTGTAGCTGCGCCTGTTTCTGTGCCAGCTGTCCCTGGAATTGCAATAATTAAAGATTAGTTAAATGCATTTAATATGTATTTAATATAATTGCAATTAATTGACTCACCTGCAGCAATGTGTTCGTATTGGAATCACAGGTCTCTGTCGCATTCGTATTATTGTTCTCCTGATTTTCCATATTGTCGTTGGCATCATTGATGCCTATAATGTTGTTGTCGATGCTGTTAATGTTAATGTTAATGTTGCTGTTGCTGTTGCTGTTACTGTTACTGTTGCTGTTACTATTGCTGTTGTTCTCTGTGGACAGCTCACACGTTTCGGTCTCGTGCTTTTCGCGCATTAACAACTGCTGTTGCTGTTGCTGCTGCTGTTGCTCCTGTTGGGCCTTCTTGTTCAGCTCCATCATATGCGCCTTCTTATGGACGCGCTGCTGGCGCTTGGACAATTCAACGCCGCTGGCAACAGCCACTGGTCTAGAGGTTAAGTCCTGGTCAATTGTGGTTGAGCTTGAGGTAATAACGTTGGCAATGCCGTTACTTGCAGCTGTTGCTGCTACTGCTGCTGCAGCGGCTGCTGTTGAGATTGTTGTTGATGCTGCTGCTGCTGCTGCTGCTGCCGCGCTGGGCTTTTGCTCGTCATCCTTATTGCTCTGCCATTCGTTGCTGACTAAGACCATAACTGAAAAGTGTGAAATGCGCACAGACAGTCATACAGTAAAATCTATATCTGATAAAAATGTATTTAGCTGGAGAGGTTGAATTTGATCGAGTGTTACAAAATTTCTGTGCACTAAACAGGGCGACCCAAAAGTTGACTGAATTGCCAGTTCAAGAGTTCCAAATCAAGGCACATTAGATTAATACATTTGCTAGTTAGTAAAAAAAAAAAAAAAAATTAAAACAAAAATAGAATAAACATAAAAAACTATTTAAAACAAAAATTATTTAATTCAATTTTTCTATGGCGCCTTACTTATATAAAAATATATATATTTANAGTTAGCAGAGTATTAAAATATATTAAATTTCTTAAGGAATTTCATATCTATATAAATAAACGCATTCCTGTTTCACAATTGTATATAATAAATTTATATTTGAATTTAAAAAAAAAATTTATTAGTGTTGTTTCAGATTACCGAACGTGGGCGGCAGCTATTTATGAAAAATCTAAATGTATAATGCACTTCCAGAGGAAATATATGAATTCCATATAAATTGTTGCCATTATTACATATAAAACATATGGCTAACAGAACTATATTTAAATTAATATATTAGGCTTAGTTCGTGGGACCAATACTTAGTTTTATGTAATTGAAATTATTAGAAAAAGTCATTGATAATACAAAATATTAGTTCTAATTCTATACAATTGAAATTAATCCAGTTCCATGAACGATTTGGCAACTATTAAACAAATGCAGCTGCTTGTTTTATATCAAAGCTCTTGCTGACCCAGTCAAATTGTGCTTTTCGACGTCAATTTTGGTTAAAGTGCTGAAAGCTCTATAAATAACTGTTGTTAACTAACAAAAAAAAAAAAAAAGTCGCACAGGACTTATGAAGGGCTGGCAACATGCACACATTTAGTTCTCCGATTTTTCAATATGTGCCGCCGTAGTGTACACAAGAAGAAAAAGAAAATACTTCAGAGTACCAGGCGCAAAATAATGTTTCGTATAAAAATAGATTATTTTGAAAATATAATTGAAAAGCGGGCAACAAATTCGAGTACTCGCATGTATGCGTCTGCTTGCCTAAGTGTGTGTGGGAGGGAGAGCGGGAGGTCAGCCGAAAAAAAAAACGGTTTGTTTGTATTTACATATCTATGTTTGTATATGCATATGATCGGGGCGCGTCTGCTCCACTTTGGAACGAGTAGAAGGAAGGAGAAGAAGCAGAACTGAGTAGCATAAATATTTATACATACATAAACAGTTTTGTCTTCATGTGCGTGCAATATATTAAATAACAGTGCAATAGACTGTATGTGTGAGAGGTCGGAGAGTAAGGGAAAAAGAGAGTTAAAGCAACAACAGTAGTAGTAGCCAAATCCCCAAATTGGGTGGCAGAGTTTGCCCCTTACCTTGCAGCACACATACAAAGCGGCGATAGAGGGCCCATTGCCCCAACAACAACTACTCGGATGGGATGGATAGAGCAACTACAGTTATTGTTGATGTTGTTGTTGTTGTTGATATGGCCGTTATTGCTGCTACTGCTGCCGCTGCTGCTGCTGCTGCTGCTGCTGGGCGTCGGTGGGAGTGGGGAAAGCTGCAAACAATGCAAAACTTTTGTTGTTGATTGGCATAAAGCGCATAGAGCACAATTGTGATCAGTCGTCGTTTGTCTGCCTGGTAGTGTTTGCGTTTGTATATATATAAATATGTGTGTTTGCGCTGCAGTTATTACAGCTACACCAACAACAACAACAATCACTACCACTACCACTACTACAGCTGCAGGCAGTGGCTGGGCACGAGTTCAACGTGGACTTGAAGGCGAAGGGGCAACGAGTGCGGCCTGTGCGAGACGTATTGTTTTTTTTTTTTTTTTTTTCTCAGTTGTTCTCTCTTTTTCACTTATGAAAATTGATACACAAATTAAGTATGAGCTGCAGCTTAATTGAATTTAATTACAATTGACTCTGTGTCGTTGACATTTGGAGAATTTACCGTTCTGCACTGCTATCTGTTCGTTTGCTTTGACTTATGTATTCGCGCAAGAGAAGAGAAAAAACAGCAAAACACAAGACTTAATATTTTCTTTGCGCTTCTTGTTTTGTATATTAACACGCGCACACAATCAATTAACTGGTTAGAATACACGAAGGAGCGTCGTTAACTCACCTTGGTTTTTAAGTTGTTTTCGTTAATCAATTTTGCAACACAGCGAAAGCGAATAATATTTGCGATAATTGTTTTCAGTTCTCAAACCAAACCTCTGCACTAGCTATGTGTACTAGACACGATACAACCAGCTATTGTGAGTTGTCACAATATTATGAAGCGCCTACTTCGATTGAGCTGGCTTTAGCTTTGTCGTGAGAGCGGGTTGCTTGGCCAGAAATGTTGAAAATCGCTTAGCCAGCGATTTGAAAACGCAATTTAATCAGAAACATATTTATATTACGCCCATTAGCCAACTGATTGGTCGTATCGTGTATGTCAGATTTAGTAGAGTTGCCATAGTCAGCTGCAATTATCGATTACAAACACTAGCAACTCTATCATACCAATATCGAGCAGGCCGAATATACAACAAAAACAAATAGAGGGCGCTTTGCTTGAATTAATTATTAAATTTATATCAAATTATTTTTATTGACTTAATTCAATTGAAAACTCTTAAACTTATCAAAGTTGTAAAATCCAGCACGCACTTGACGTCCGCCAAAAAATCGTCCATTCAAATCCACAACAGCTGTAAGATATGATAATAGTATTGTATGCGATTATTATTAGTTTAAATTAAAAACTCACCTTTGATGGCGCTCTCAATACGTTTGAACTCCACAAATATTTTGACCGCATCCTCCGGCACCGTACCAAAGGCTTCATGTATGATAACACTGTTCACTTCCCCATACTTTGTGTTGCATTCATCCTTGACCTCGGGTTCGAGCTCCTCGTCCACGTCGCCCGGTCCTACCATGTTGCGAAGGAGCACCACTTTACTAGGCGCCTTCATGATTTCGGTTATGCTAGGCTCTGGCTCACTGGCGGCTGCCGGAGCAGGTGCTGACGGAACAACGCCTGGCAATGCTGGTGGTGGCATCGAGCCAGCTGGTGCAGCAGCAGGACTTGGACTCGAAACTGATGGCGATGCGCTCACAGCAGGCAGTTGGGGCAGAGGTGGTGAGGCTGACGGCGGTGGCGGTAGGAATACATCCTTTTCGTGTATGATACGACCGCCGCGCTTAGATGTTTTCTCCACTTGCAGAGCTACAGACATGCCCTGCTCTGATTTGCCCAAGCCTTGGCCATCCTTAAAGCCGTATTTGGCCATTATCTTGGCCGCCACAGAGCTGGCGCTATATGGTATGGTTACACTCGAGGAGCCATCGCCACTATCGATGGACAGAGATGGTGGTGGCGCAATGGCTGCACCACCACCCTGTTTGGACACTGAGCCCGGCGCTGGCGGACTGTAACGGTCCTCGTCACTTTGCCGCTGGCTAAATCCACTAAATTTCATGCTTGGCGGGGAGTTGTCATGATTGTGCGTGTCTCGGCGTCCGCCACCACGACTGCGCTTGCGATCCCGATCTCGATCTCTGTCTCGATCGCGATCCTCACCGCGACTGGCGCTTCCGCCACTGTTACGTGACTTATCATTGGATTTCGATTTATCTTTCAGCTTCTCATATTCATTCGGCCACTGCGGATCGTATTCGTCCACAAAATCCCAATCGTCCGTCTTGATGCTATCCAGAACTGGCGGAGCAGGCGCCACTGTGCTGCTAGTTATTGTTGGCTTGACGGCCACAGTCGCGGGCACAAAACTGTCGGCATCTGAGGTTCGCTTGGCGCGCAGATTCACCACAGGTGTCATGAGCTGTACATGATAAAATATAATTAAAGTGCAAGTGCGGATGAGCGTGGCGAATTGGAACTCACCGGTTTTTTAATTGGATCTCTCGCCTTGGGCTTGGGCAGTTGGGCTTTCTTCACTGCCAACTGCGTTTGCAACATTTTGATGCCCGACGACCATCCGTCCATTTGACTGGCACGCGGCTTTGCGTCTATGTCATCGTACAAGTCCATTTTGTATTTATTTTATATATTTTTCTTTTTATTTATTTTTAAACAATACAGAGGAAAACTTTTTGCCTTCGACTTGGTGCATAGTTTCCAGTGCTGTAAATATATGCAGATATGCAGTATTGTCGTTTCACAGCACTGTTAGCTTAACATATGCTGATTGCTCTGCTAAAATAAGATAATTGTTGCGTTCAAAATTCCACTGCCAGCTTAACATAATCTAAGTGTTGTGTTAACAGTTAAACTAACATTGTTAAATTTTAAAAGATGATTTGCATATGATTGCTTCTCTTAAGATTTCTGTAGCTGCCTCTGGTAAATTATCCCTTCGTTGAGGCGCTAAGCTTTCCTATCATCATACTTCGTCCTTGAGTTTTGAATTCTCATTCATTTGTTAGGATATTTCGGACATTGCAGCAGGTATAATTTTAATGATGCACCCTTATTGTATTTGAATATTTAGGTATTTGAATATTTAGGTAAATTGGGAACTCAATTATTAATTATATTTAAATATATTCATTCTACCATTCATTCTAACATATTATAAAATTTGGGTACATTATTGCTGCTGCCAAAATCAATTATTTACTTAGTGTTTTTAATAATATTAAGAAAAGAATAGCTTTGCTTATTTATATTAGATGTAGTATTGGAATTTGTTATGAAATATTTGCTATGAATTTCTTTATTTGGGTTGCTTGGAATCTTTTCATAATTGCCCGCCAACCTTCAAATCGAATAACAGAGCGCAAGCTGAAGATGTGACGTCACAGCATAGCAGTTACTTAACATTAAAAGTAATAGAGCAGATATTACGTTGCGCAAATGTTACACTTACGTTGTGCAAGACGTTGAGCTAACATAAATGTTATCTCTTAATGTTTATAAAAAATGGGCAATGAAGGCAGCAAACTAAAAGGGCTGATTATTGATAAAAACGCTATCGAAGTGAATGATTTTTGGGCACTCTACAATGCCGAATCGCCAACAACATGCAACGAGGAGGGCGGCGGCGGCCAGGAGCTCTCCATATTCAAAGGTGAAGTTCTCGTCAAGGGCCAGCTGTGGGCGGCCCAAGGGCCAATGGAACGTGCCATAAAGGTAAATGCCACAAGTACGAAATGCTGTAAACAGACAAATAACTCTATTTGAATGTATCAAATGTGTGTAGAATCTGATGATCTATCGCCATCCGTATATACTGAAATACATGTCAACATGGGATGAGTCCGGCCAGAAACATTTGGCCACGGAACGCGTGAGACCCCTCAACGATGTGCTGGCCCAGCAGAGCGACATACAGGTGTGCCTTGGTTTGCGCACCATACTCTGCAGTCTGATATTCCTGATTGAGAAGGCGATGGCCCGACATCTCAACATATGCACACAATCCATTTATGTGACGGACAAGGGCAGCTGGCGCTTGGCCGGCTTTGAGTTTGTGTGGAAGGCAAAGGACTTGAACCAACAGCTTATTGACTTGGCGCACAGCTTTCGCCAGCCCTTGGCCCGAGACTCGGCCAACAGCGAACTGGGCCTGGAACAGTTCGCCTTTGCCACCCTCTGCGAGCAGGTGCTGGACAAGTGCGGCCCCCACGAGGGCAAAGCCAGCACGCCGTACGTAAAAGAATTTCGCGAGTATTGCAGCACACACCTGAAGCACCTCAATGTTGAGATGCGTCCCAAGCTATCGGCCGTGCTCTTGCATCCCTATTTCAATCACGAATTCGTACTAATCCATTCATTTCTGTTCGAGCTGCCCTTGAAGTCGGTGCAGGAGCGTCAGCAATTCTTTAGCAATCTAATTGAACGTCTGCGTTGCTTCGATGAGCAAGTGGTTGCCTCCCAGCTGGCCAGCGATCTGCTGTCGCGCATGGTACTGCTCGATCCCACCGCCCAGCACTGCGTCACGCCCTACGTGCTGCGCACCAAGACAGAGAACGGCACCGCCGCCCTCTTCTCGCCGCAAACCTATTTGCATTATCTGCTGCCGCATATATTGAAAATGTTTCGATTGCGCGATGCACAGATTCGACTCATTCTGCTGGACTACTTCATGGAGTATGTGCGTCTGTTGAGCGACGAGCAGCTGAAGAGCGAAATATTGCCGCATTTGCAGCTGGGCATGAGCGATACCAACGATGTGCTCGTGGCCAAGACATTGCGCTGCCTGGCCGATCTGGTGCCCATACTGGGTGCAGCCACTGTGCTGGGCGGAGATCGGAGACGTTGCTTCTCCGACGGACGACCCCATGCGGCCGTCTCCACGGACAGCAGCGCACCCTGGACAGAGCCGCGCTCGATTACGCCGCTCATGAACGGCAGCGCTGTGGATGCCGTGGACTATATGGTCTCGGGCAGTCCATTGCCTGTGGAGACCAATGTGGCGCCGATGCCATTGCGCTTGAGCCCGGATGGCGGCGAGGACGAGAAGAGCATCACAAATCTGAGTGAGAAACCGTTGGAGCTCAGCCAGAGCAGCAGCAGCGGCGGCGGCGAAAGCAATWCGGAGAATGCCAACAGCTCCCCGAGCAGCGCGGCGCACGAACAGACATTGGTCAATGATGAGGATGAGGATGGCGCGTGGTCCGATTGGGAGAATACGGACGAACTGCAGCGGCTGCATGTCAAGCAGGAGGCCTTGGATGAGCTGAATCTAAACAATTTGGAGACCAATAGCAGCACATCGACACAGGCCACCCAACCTTCGCTCACCGACTCATTCCGCACCGCCTGCTCCAGTCTATCGACAGCCGCTACAAAGACCTCCGCTCCACCGACCAATCGCATGCTCATCGATGATCTCAGCGCGCTGGACATACAGGTGCAATTGACAACGCCGGCCAATACCACGGAGTCGGCTGAGTTTGACTTCTTCAAGGACATGGAGCCGGTGATTGAGACAAAGATCGCCGCCATCACTGAACCGGAAATTGTCCAAATCGATGCGAGTCGCTTTGCGGCGGCTGCGACAGCCTCGAATGACCATGAAACCGATGCCGAGGCCGATCAGGGTTGGGGTCATGATGAAGATGAGGATGATGTTGTCTGGGGCAACGATGCGGAGACCTCCAAGGTCTAGTAGTTATCCTAAGCTGTCCAAAATCTATCGATCTTAAGCCTATATCTGCCGTCGTTCTTCTTGTTCCATTCTAGTTTAATTTTAATTGTCATTGTCATTGTCATTGTCATTGGTAATCCTTTCACATTTACAAATTTACAGTTTTTTTTTTTCTTTCTTTTCATATTTACAGTTGAGTACAACTTCTGTACAGAATGCAATAAATTCCAATACGCAAGTGTAGAGCGTATAAAAATATGTATATACAAAAGAATCTATTTTATGCATTTCTTGTAGCATCTTTATCAATTATTTTATAAAAATTATTACTGTAATACATTTATTGGATTGGTTTATTATAATTAAAGTTGTAATTCGTTATAGAAAATATCGCAGAATTATCAAATATATTCTTGATCAGAACAAAACACGTTTGTCTATTCTACTTATTGGAATTTGTGTTCCGATTGGAACTGTTCAGATTGGTCGGATAAAGCAAGTGTGTAGCTCATAAAAACTGAACTAATTGTCCCTAATAATTCTAATCCGTTTTGATAAAGTTCTACATAGAAAATATTTATATAAAATATCTTTTCACTATAAATACACTGTTAAAACGACTTATTAGATTATATAATATATGTATACGAAATACTTATGAACATATCTACTATGCTATAGCATAAAATATAGAAAGACTAACACCTAAAATATTTTGATACAAACAAAACTTAGCTTTAATCTAAAGAAAACTTAAAAAAACAAATGAAATAGTAAACAATCAAAAAAAGTAACTAAAGTATCATTAGAACATTAACAATATCAGAACTTTTAAGTACTATATTTATTTTTAAATGCAATCGTTTATGGCTAATTTATTGTATGTCGTGATATTGTATGTCGTGATATGGTTATCATACTTACTCCTGAATGACTAATGAAATGTTTTGGTCAGTCGTTGAAATTCTAGCGAATGTCTTGGGGGTATTCTTGTATAGATATCAACATTAGTCATGGCGCACACTCCCAATCTTTATTATTTGGCTAAAAAAGATTTTATAGCCACATAAAAAAAGTTTATTTACGTGTTATCTCTCTAGCTGTGCGCAGCCTTTAAAATTGTTCTCTTATCAACCAAATTTAATCTAGCTATTTAGGTTTTATTGCTATTTATATTAGGCCCATAGAAGTGTCATTCATAAGTTTCAATTCATACGTATTATTTATAAAACAGATGACAGGGGTCTAGATTAAATTATTACTTTTTCTAGAATAATCAAGTTTTTTGTAAATATTTAGTCTTTTTATTTTAAAACATTCATACATACGTATTAAAGTGAAGAGGGAAACAGTAACAACAACAAGCCTACTAACGCAATGAACGCAGGAAGTATAGGTGTAAGACGAAGACAGATTACCGTTACCAATGAATGCTGTTGCCCAACTTACCAACAACAGCTACTCAATACAATTCATTGCGAAGCCCTGAAAACAAAATTATTTACACAGGTTCAATAGCACAATTCTATATGAAATATAAATTTTTATATAAACTGAAATATCCGATTAGAAATATGTTTATATACATATACAATTTTGTAATAGTTTTCCTTTTCAAAGCGAATTGCTGACGCACATCTGCTCTCTTTCAAATACCAATAGCCACTGCACACATATGCACATACATACATATGTAGATAGAGATGAGCACATTTGCGCTTGTGCTCACGCATACATATACGCAGTATGTTAAGGTATTACACACATACATAACCAGGACAACAGCTTGCACTGCAAGAGCGTATAAGAAATTACTCAAACTCCACACAGTAGGCGGGTATAAGAGAAAAATGATCACGCATTAATTTGAGTGTGTGCACTAATTTCAGGAGTTTGCCGAGTCGCTTATGCAACAGCACACATACATAAATATTCTCTAATGTAAAAATATTTAAATGCTTACCAGAAATATCCATATATATGTATTTTTTAATAAAATCCAGTACGCAATGGGCGGCGTATAATTGTATGTATATTTTAATGCATTTTTTTTAATAATCTTTAAAATGTTTCTTTTTTATTTTTTGCATGCATTTGTGTTGTGTTTTCGTTTAAAACTAATCTTGTAAAATTGTTAAATATGTATTTCGTTCTTTATTTGTTTTTTCTTTAGCAAAAAATGCTATATTTACGCAAAAACATTCTAAAATGCATTTGTTTATACCATTTGACTATATATGACTTATTAACATTTTCTTTTTTGTTTTTTTTTTTTGTTGTTTTTTATTTGTGATCAAAATTGAGGCTCAATCGATCAGCGGATTTAAATAGGCTAAAATGGGGAAAACAAATAAAAGTAAAATTATGCAAATAGTTGAATGAAATAAAACGAAAGAAAAACACAAAATATGTTTCAACTATTTACTCACGTTTTGTTTTTATTATGCTTACATTTAAAAAAAAGGTATTTTTACGCATTAATTTGTTGTTTGTTTGTTTGTATGTTTGCCTTGCAGCATCCATATTATCATGCTCAACTTAATCAATGATCTTAGTAATCGTAATTACATTATTAAATTTAAATAAGATCAGCTGAAGTTTTATTAGTGTTTACTTTTATTCTCACGAGTTTTTCTTTTTTACTTTTACTCTTTTACGTTTCTACTCAAACGCATTGAAAAAATTCGGTGCGCTAAATTTGTTTATAATTAAAAGTATTTACTGCACACTGCTGCGCTCTTTATACATGATGCAAGTGCGATGGATAAGGAGTGTGGAGGGGCGGGGCAGGGCAGAGGCGGGAGCGGAGGGAATTATGCATGAGAACGCTAAGCGATATACTAAATTGGAGTTTTTGTGGGAAGCGTGGTGTGGCGTAGCGGGAGCGGCTGCATGGAAATGTGCGTGGGCGGGGCGAGGAACAACTGCCAGAAAATTCAAATTGTTGCACGTAATTTGCATAACTTTTTTATAGTTTTAGTTTCTTTTTTATAAATGTTTTTTTTTCTTTTAGTTTTGTGTAGGAAAGTAATTCTTAAAAAAAAAAATTAATAAACAATAAAACATTTATATAAAAAAGCATATGTTTTTACATGCGTTTTCCAAACAAGTATCAGTATCGTACTTCATTGTTTTCTGTTTTCTTTTGCCTTGTTATCCGTTTCTTCCCTTTTCGCTTATGCTGTTAGCTGTATCGTTTCTCTTACACAAGATCTCTTTCATTAGTTTATGGATTTAGCTGTGAGTCTATATATATGTGTGTATATATGTGTGAGATAGTGTTCTGATTCTGTTCGATGGTGGAGAGTGTGAGAGTTTTGTATTCTTCTGATCTGATGTGGGGTATGGTATGGTATGGTATGATTATTGTATGCTATTGATTCCAGTAAGGTTGTAGGTATGAATTGATTTCCTCGTAGACAGCCGACGCATCCGCATCACAACAACGCAGCATTCAATTCAATTCAGCTCCTTGTCTTCTAAGTACTTGTATTCAAAGGTGAAGCCCTCCTTTTTGCGCTGACTCCATCTCTCATAATCGAAGTAGATGTACGTACCCTGCAAGATAGCGAATTATAAAATTAAAATACATCGAGTAGGAATATCTTATTCAATTAAAAACATAAGTTTTATCCTACAATCGATTCGAGGCTCAGATAAATTCAAATAAAAATAATCGAATTCAGTTTTTTGAAAATATATATTTCGTATTTGCTAAAAATATAGAAAAGCCTTTCCAGACATCCGATAAAAAAACTATTCAACACTTCCAAACCTATGCCTTATTTGACAAATATTAAATTTACTAGCTCGCAACAATTTATTTAAGAATAGGGAAAAAGGAATTTGTACAAATTGTAATTCATTGTAATCTCACGCTCAAGCTTAGATAAATGTAATTTTATTAGTGAACACGATTGAACTCACCTGTTCGTAATCATCGTTGATAATCTTCGGCTCCTCGTGCCGTTGAAACCACATCATGTATTTGGTGTGGAAGCGCCAGCTTTGTTTTTTTAGCGCCTTCGCTGCGAGATATTGCGCCTTGGAGCCCTCCATGTAGTAGAACACAAAGAAGAGCGTCTCCGTCGAGAGCCGTTGATAGAATTCAACGGTATCGTAAATGGGCAGCTGGGCCTAGAATGCGAACAAACAGAGGAAAAGAAGAGAAGAAAATTCATCATTCATGTTGGCTGGCAATGGAATCAATGTATCTGACTCACCTGTGGATAATGCGCTGGTGTTTGCACCGGTGAGCGATGAAAATATGTTTGCAGCTTCTCCGTATCAATGGGCTGTGGCAGGTGATAATATGCGGCTTCCATCATTTGGAACTGCAGCTGATGCTCCTTTTGCAGCGGCGTTGGACCCAACGGCGTTACACCTAACAGCGGTGGTATGTGCGCCTCCGTTGTGGCCATTTGCTGCTGCTGTTGTTGCTGCTGCTGCTGCTGCTGTTGTTGCTGCTGTTGCGCTGTATGCGTCTTGGCATTGGCTGTGACCACAACACCACCGCTGACGGCTGTTGGCTGACCAGCAGCATTCGCCAGATTCATGAGTCCACTGCCAGCTGTGGGGCCATTGCTGGCTGAGGCGACGATTGTACCAATTGCTGCAGCTGCTGCTGCTGCCGCTGCTGCATTTTGTTGTTGCGCTGCTGCTGCTGCCGCTGCTGCTGTCGCTGCTTGTTGTTGTTGCTGGAGCTGCTGTTGCTGTTGTTGGTTGGCAGTTGTTTCGGTGCTGAAATGCTGTTGCAGCAATGATTGCTGCGCTGCTTGTTGCTGCGCCTGCTGTTGTTGCTGCTGCTGCTGTTGCTGCTGTCTCGTATCTATATTACTTGCCTGCTGCTGATTTAGGGAATTGGGCTCGATCACAGATCGATTAATGGCTTCCTGTGCCATGGTTTTCAATGAAATCGCATCGACAGCATTACTGTTGTTATTGCTGCTGCTGTTGCTGCTGCCGCTGCTGCTACTGCTGAGTGAGACGGGCAGACCTGCAAATATAATCGAAACAAATAACAATAAGCATTACATATTAACAGCAGTTACTTTAAATAAATAAACAGAATATAACCGTAAGCTTTGAAGTCTGCAAAGTTTGAATACCCATAAAAGGCATAAAGGGTATATCTATAGTTAGCCAATTAATATCTATAGATTTCTATTCAAAAACTAATATTATACAGTTTGCAATACGAATATTTGCACTCACCTGGGATTTAATTCTATGATAAAACTTTTACTTTCTAATAATATTCATATGTCATTTTAATAGTCATATATAATACATATACGATATTAAGGTGTAAAACTATTATCATGTAATTGCATATCTCAGCATAAACTTTTCGTAATCTACTTACAAAATATGATATATGATATCCTAACCTGCAATATGAGTTTATATTGGATATATAAACATAGTCATTCACAAATTGAAAATAGCCTCGGCAAAAGTATTCTTGGCGAAAATCTGTACCCAGCTTCGAATGGCCTGAATTATAGCAATATAATTACTTAGAGCCATTCTAAAAGGGTTCTCAAATTACGTCTGTGTTTATTGCCATAAGCGCTGGATATATATTAAATAGAGCATTTCATATTTAGGTTTCTGGTTGCTAATATTGAAAGACTGTTACAACTAAGCGAATCAATTTCATTGACTACTATCATTATTCATTGATCAAAACTATTACAATTATCAACTGTTAAAAACTATTGCCAAACCATGGTTAAGCTCAGCCATTGGCTAACTTTAAATCCAAATATATTACCGTTTTGCATGTGTGAGGAATTCGTTTGAAGATTGGATAATTGCGCTGCCTGTTGTTGCTGCTGCTGCTGTTGTTGTTGTTGTTGGGCCTGTGCATTTGCGCTTACAATGGCCGCCACCGTCGGCGCCGTTGCCTGCTGCTGCGAGACAGGTCCGTTTTCCAGTAGTGCTAGAAATACAAATTATAATTAGAATAAATTTTAACATATTTATAAAGTATTTTGGACGTACATGTGTTGTGTTTAGCCACCGCTGCAAATGCAATTGTTGGTGTCGCTTGAATCACAGATTGGCCTTGAATGTTATTGCTGCTGTTGCTCGCTGATGCTGTTGCTGCAACAGCTGCAACGGCTGCCGCCGCTGCTGTTGCTGCTGGCACAGCGATGTTGGTTGCACTCAGACCAGGCGTTGGGGCATGTGGCTGCACGGCAGGATTGTGACCACTAGCAGCGACAATGCTGCTGCTGCTGCTGCTGTTGTTGTTATTGTTGCTGCTGCTGTTGTTGTTGTTGTTGTTCTGTGTCCCGCTAGACGCCAAAACGGAAGCGACCGTGGGTAGTTGCTGCTGCTGGTTTTTGCTGGGCGTTGAGCTAATAATCTTATTGACTTGAGCTGCTAATAGAATTTAGTCCATTAGTAAGTTAACACTCCAATTGATATAAAGCTTTGCAACTTACTATCACTACCCGCGGGCGCTTTAGCTGTGGCACGCACTGGCGTCGGCTTGATCGGCTGTTGAGGTTGCTGTGGTAAAAAATGAAAATGCAAAAAAAATATATGTTAAATATTTGAGAAAAAATTGGGTAACTTATATATTAATTTGTATTTTATGTAAACATATACTGCTATTTTATTCACATATAATTTACTACTCACTACACTTTGAAATATTCTAAAATATATAAAAATATGAGAAAATATGTATGAGAAAACATACAATATGTATATGAGAAAATTCGCCTGAATTATATGCCGTTCACTGTGTAGATATCTTAATAGATATGTGCTAACAATAAAAAAAAGGATCATAATTTATTCTGTTAATTTAGAGCGTTCATATATCCTCTCTCCTTGATCTAGTTCTTTAAATTTACTATTCATATAGAAGGGAATTTATGCTATTAAAGGTCATTAAATATATTTTTCTTTCCAGACCCAATTTACTGACAATATATATAAATATTAATTACATTTTAGTTTAATATAGAGTTAAAAGTTATTGAACACTATGAAATACTCATATAGTCTTCATTGTTGTAAGATGTTTGACTTATTCAAGTTGAAACTTTCGAAAGTAAAAATAATATAAAGCAATTCCTATGAAAATATGATATATCTCAGTTGATGACCAATTAGCTAACCTCTGTAAATCCTACTATACCAAAAAACTCAATAAATTTTACATATTCTAACCACAAGAATTCAAGAATTAGTCAATAATTGTACAGCTTCAAAAACCTTTCGTGCAAATGGAGCTGGTCAATTTGTCTATTCCTCACACTTCTGTTACCAATTACATTACCTTAATGCGAAATATAATACCTCAATTGGTCAACAATTAATTCGTTCATGATTATTAGTTAGTTTAGTTTATTTAGTGGCAAACACTTACCTTCGCTTTGCTGCTATTCGCATTGCTTTCGCTACTTTTGTTGCGCTTCTCGCCACCTGTTGTCGCCTCGGTTGACGTTGTCGCTGAGGATGAAGCTGCGCTGGTGTCGCTCGCATAGCCCACATTGTTGCCATTCGATTGCTGTGCAGCGACGGCTGCTGCCGCCGCCGCTGCGGCTGCTTGCAAATGCTGGAATTGGGCTGCACTAGCTGCGCTGGTGCCACTGCCTGCGCTGCTGCTGCCCGCCGTCGACGTCTGCTGCTGCTGTGCGGAGGAGGAGGAGGATGGCAACACCTGCTGCACTGTAACTGGCGATTGCGATGGACTGCCGCCGGATGTTACGCTGCTGGGCGAGCCGCTTGTTTCGTTGCTATTGTTGCTATCCGTTGTGGCGGTACCACTCAGCTCGACTTCATCCAGTCCGATAATGTCATCGTAGATGAACTCGTTCTCCTCGAAATCGGGCTCTTGCGACGAATCGATATAGTATTCGACATCATCTTTGATTTTGTTCACTTGATCCGCCTCGACACCATCGTTGTCCAGCAGCCGCAGCAACGTTTCCAGTTTGGTTATGTGGAATTTATGACGATCCAACTTACTCCGCAAATCATCCATGCGCTCCTGTTTATCGCGATCCAGACGTTTCTTTTTACCCGCTAACAGCGACTCAATTTCGCTCTCATACTGATCGATTTGAATTTGAAGTGTACTAATTGAACCGGTTAACCAATTGCGCGCATGATCCTTGATCCGTTGCGCTGGATCCATTTTTTGTGCGGCGCCCAGACCCTCCTTGGAATACGCTTTTGTTTTTGTTTCCCGCTCCACCACCTTGAAGCGTTCCATTTGCTGTAGGTAATTTGAAAGTAATTAAAATTAATATGGAGCGATTGGAATTTCAAGTCGCCGCGAGAAATTGCAAATAGCTGATCGCTAAGCTATGTCGCAACATTCTTTAATATAAAATAAAATTGTGTATTTTTGGAACTGAAACCACAGATTAATTTAGTTTTGTGGATCAAAACAGACATAGGAATAAAAGTGATCTATGGATTGATTAATGCTCAAGATTGATAGTGGCGACATTTCTTTGTATTCCAATTTTAGGCTTAAACAACTTGCCGTTTCAATGAGCCTTCGATTCTCGAGCAGCGCGCTTTTATCTTTAATCTCGGCGGATGCAATCCATGATTTGATTTGATCTCGTAATCGCTGCAGTTTCTTAATTTCCTTTTTAAGGTCTGCCTCATACTTTTCCTGCAGATGCTTTTGCTGCAAATAGGATAGACATTGATATAGGTTTATATTGAAGAGAGATATTAGATTTAGATGGTGTTATTTGCTCACCTTCTGGTTGGTATTTGTAGCATTGTGTACCTTTTTCCATATATCCTCAAACGTTTCCACGCCCTCGCCTACCTTTTTTAAACATCGATCAATTTCGCCTATCGGGGGGTATATCGATAATGTGCACAGTATCAGTATTTGAACACACATCATATCAAATAAATACATACATACATCTCTACCTATGTATGTATATGGAGAATTGTGCTTACCTTGCAATTTTCTCGTCGCAGCCATGGCTATGTGTGCTCTAGTGGTTTCTGCTGGCGCAAATAGTCAGACATAGTCCGCTACAAGCTGTCGCGATTGTTTAGTTATATCACCTGCCCGCAACACAATCACTGTTGCTGCTGCTGCTTCTGCTGTGCGCTGTTTGTGCCTGACCAGAAGTCGGCAACGGCGTCTGCAACATAAATGGATCAATGTTAAATATGCATTAATTGCGCACACACATGTATAAACACACACAGACGCACACCAGCGCGTGCACCGTTGTTTCGACGTGTGCCGCGGCATTTGTAGCGCTGGCGGCGGCAGAATCATTTCCATTATTTGGGCACACACACCGAAGCGTATGATTAGTGGGCTGGCGTTGTTATATTTACCTTAGATCCAAGTAGCTTCACCGAATTGTATGGAAAAACACTCTCTGCCTGGCTTTGCTTCTTCTTCTGCCTCTTTCTGCTTGCACTAATATATGTGGTGGACTGTGTATATATGTGAGTGTACGTGTGCGTGTGTATGTGTGTGATACCTTCGGGCCGTCGGAGATTTCGATTTTTTTTTGTGGCTAAGCCTTTTAGGGCAAACGCAACGTGGCAGCTGTGCTGGGATTTCTTGTATATTGATGAGTGGAGCAATAAATATGTGTGCTTGGTCTTAAGTATATAGATTTATGCAATTTATACATTTAAATAAATACGCTTAAAGATTTTTCGCTTGCTTTTTGTTCGCTTCTTCTTCTTCGCACATTCCAAGATGGCGACTCGCCAAAACTTATCGAATATAAACGATTGCGCCACAACATTTCGATAATTGCACACCACCCTGACCAGTGCTATAGCAGTGAGCTGTCATTCGAAAAAGAATGGCAATTTTAAATTTAAACTCGTGCACGAATTAAAATTTATGATAAATTATTTTATTTGCGCTTGTTTTGTGCACTTTGCCAAGGAGGGGGAAAAATATAAGAATGTACACGGTTTTTTTTAGATTCGAGTAACTGTTAAATTCGTTTCTACATTAAAGCGGCAGCGGGCGCCAAGCGGTCAACTGCATGAAATTTGTTCATTTTTTTTGGTTTTTCTTTCAATAGTTACGTTTAAAATTTTTGCAATGTTGTTGCCAATCAAGTATTGTGTTTGCAAATAGTAGTAAGTTTTGTCTATAATAGTTGTGCTGCCTATCACATACGTGCTTGATGCGTTGTTATCCTTTGCGCGCGGTCCTAGAATTTGCAAATAATCAAATTTTCAAATTTTTGCATGTTCTCTAATCGTATTTCAAATTTGACTGATGCTGATGCTGCTGATGTTGTTGCTGTGCCATGGTTTGTGCATCGATGACATCGCCAGTTAGTTGATAGGACGTTCGAGTATTAGCCATACAGTTCTTGATAAAACTGCACACACTCTGCACATATTGTGTTGGGTATTTGGTAAAGATTTTAACATGTTCCGCATCCTCAAAGCAGACGGATGACACATTGATGCCCTGATCGCGTCGTATTCGTATAAATTTCTCAACGTCTCGATATGGTATGACAACATCACTTTTCGAATACAAAAACAATTGAGGATATTTGTTCGTCTCGTTCTTGAGCTCACTGAAGGGGCTCGCATGGACAGGCGTTGAAGGGACAAACAAACTCTTAAAAGCCACAAACGATTCCTGCGAATGACAATTTGTGTATTAGAAGATGGGGTGGGGAAAAGGGTAGAGGGCAGGTGGTATGAGCAAGGTGTAGGGGGCATGGCTCACCTCAACAAACCACATCATGCTCAGGATCAACGTAATGATCAATGCCGTGACGCAATTGCAGCGTTTCTCCTTGCCATAAATTGCATTGATGGCACGATATAAACCGAGCATACGTCTCTCACCTGGCGCCGAATCAAAGATGACGCCGCGCACTTGCAATGGGGATTTGTGCTTGCGCACGGCCAAATTGATGTGCTGATAGAGATAGGCACCACCGTTCGAAAAGATGTGAAATATTAAGGGATGTGCATCGAAATTCATGTCCTGTATGAGCTTCAGGATCTTCTCGCCAATCGGCACCATCTCGCTGCGCTTCCAGAACAGCGTGTCTACTGGCGCCGTATAGCGGACCGTAATGAGACTGAGATCGAATCAAATATATAAATAAATATAATATTCATTATAAATGTATGTAATTAATAAATAATTGCTATTAGCTGCCCATGTCCTCCACTCACCCCCGATCCTCGTAGATCTTCGAGTACTTCATTAGATAACGGTCCTGACACCCCGCCCAGCCCAGCAGCATCACAATCGGGATATTGTTCTGCTCATCGTTGCCGCTGACCAGTACGAAATCATTGTCTGCTGTGGGTTTTGGAAATTTGATGAAGTATTCCAAAGTATCTTCGCGTTCCAGCATCTCGCGTTGCTCCTGTTGTTGGCGTTCGTTGGTTATTGGCATAATGCCGGCCGATCCGCTATATGGCTGATATTCGGATTCAATATCATTCGCTGTTAGGCCATATGWTTGTTGTTGTTGTTTTTGCTGAGTTGTTGTTGACGATGATGAAGGCGATGACATTTTGTCATTTAAATTTGTGTGTGTGTGTGTTTTCCGTTGTTGCTTTCCTAAATTCTGAAACTTATTTTAATGTTGATTGAAATTTTTAATTATAGCTTGTAACAAAAAAAAAAAAAAAAAAAAAAAAAGGAAAACAAATTTATTTACGTGTTTTGCCTGGTTACGCAAAAGCCTACTTACTTGCTTAGCTCTACATATATATGTGTTGTGGCCGAGTCTGTTGCCAAATAACAAATATCCGTTGCTGTATTGATTTTGTGAGGCGAAAATATTAACGGTTGGTTTATTTACGAGAAAGCTAAAGCTTGAGGCATTTTTTTTTTATTCCTTTTTTTACAAGAACTAAATTGATTTTTCGGCCAGCGGGAATAACCAGCAAAAACTTGACCTTCTGGCCAAGCAGCTTGGTACGCACAAACAAATATGAAATATGCTGCTAGGTGTGCTGCTGCTGCTGCTAGTGCCGCCTCCTGGTGCTGGTGTTGCAGTAACATGCCGCATTCCAAATTTCCAGCCGCTGCTGTTGACTATGGCAATGGATTCGACTTGAACATGCGCAATGCTTTAAAAGGATAATAGGTTAGGAATAACTATTTCAATTGATCGTTGACGCAAATTTATGCAGCTCATATTAAACAGAATATGCATAAATAGTAACTATAAATATACACTTTCATAATAAAAATAAAAATTTTACTTATTTCCCTTCAAAGCAGTAAAACCTTCAAATTCGGCGCTTACATTTTAACACAGCTGTTGGGAATGGTATAAAACATGCAAAGCGCACTATAATATATCGATATTTTGAATGCCAGTTAAAGTTTTCAAATTGAAAGTAACGCCAGCACAGCTGTTAGAAATGGTATAAAATAGGACTAGATCAACTAAACATTGTAATCAACGTGTACTGTTTGTTTGTTGTTGTTTTAGCTTTTGTGTTGTTTATTAAAAAAATGCGTACAGTAAACTTAAAATTTGGAAATTTTTAACCATACAAAATTTTTAATAGCAGGAAATTCAAATTAGCGCTAATGTATTTAACAGCTATTATGAAAATTGATGTATCGATACTTTCCCTTCTTTTCTACTGATAAAACTAAATATTTCAAATTGGCGCTGAATCGCTCACAGCTGTTTTTGTTTGACATCAAAAAGAGGACTGGGATATATTGGCAAACGTTTTATTTTGTTTTCGCTCAAATACATTGCTAATACTTGTAAGTCTTTTATAGAATTCAGTTTCTATGGGACCAGCTACATTTAAACTCTATAATTTTGTTTCTTCGAAATTAAACGCAAATTTGGCAATTTTGATATTTCTTACTTTGAATTTAAAATCATTTTGGTAATTGTATTAAACTAAATTTGACTAAGTTGTTGCTGTGACCTGTGCGTGTTACAGTTCCTCTCGCATTGATGTCGCCATTTCCGGTTCTGAATCGATTTCCGTATTCAATGCGACTGCAAACAAACAAAAATATAGAAAAACATAACATAATTTAAATACTGCAGACAAATGCTCATTTACGAATTATTCATAGAATAAAATTAACGTATAGATCAGCAAATATTCCAAACGTCTTTTCTCTTCTTTGTTTTGGTTTTTCTTTTTTTCCTGACTTATAATGACTTCATGATCAAATCCTCAAGCTGCTTTGTGTCTATTTCTGGCTTTTGAACGCCGCCCTGCGCTGTCCAATTCAGCCAATACTCGGAGGCAGCTATATAGATGGCCACCGCACCACCAACGATATACGCAATATGTGTGGAGCTCTGGAAGATGACGCAGGTGGCTACGCACATGCCGAAGTAGGTGAGAAATCGTGTTATGTTCACATACGAATCGCGCTGCTGCGAGGACAGATCTGTATGAACCGTTCCAGGGCAAGAGAAATGATGATAGTTGTCAAACTATAGTTATCGATGATTGAGCACGCACTCACCTTGACATTTGCCATCCTTCAGCTGATAGCCATCGGCGCACTTCTTGCACATATCGGGTCCATCACCATCGCAACCATCGCAGGAACGATCACATTCCAGGCACGAGAAGGAGCCTTCGTTGTTCACACAGAATTGTTGCGGACGACATGCTCGATGCTGATCCACACATTCGTTGATGTCCACGCAACCCGTTTCGGTGTCCATCCGCCAGCCATCCTTGCACTTGCGACAACTCTTCGGACCAGCGCCGTTGCAGCCGCCATCACCGCAAGCGGAATGACATGGAGTGCACAGCAGCTTTGTGGCATCGCGAAAGGATTCATAATTGTTCTCATCACACTCGTTGCAATTGACACCCGCGTACCCGCTGTCACATAGACATTGCCCGTTGCCCTTGCGTGTTCCGTTGCCCTTGCATTTTCCTAGAAAATAATATACATACATATATAAGATACGCATTTTATTTTCAAAGAATAACCCACCATTATTATTGCAGTCTGTGCACGGCTGGCAAGTGGGTCCATACGTGTTGCTTGGACAGCAAACGCTCAGTTGATTGATGCACAGCCAGGCATGCAAATCGGGCTCCTCGTCCTGTTTGTTCGTAAACCAGTCTTCAATCAAGGACTCGTGGTCGTTGCTCAACATATGACAGTGATCCTGGCCACGTTTAACCTCACTGCACAACTGCTCCTGGATCTCAACGAAGCGCACTTCACTATTTCTATAGGCACGCATTTTCTCCTGCTCCCAGGCGGCGTCGCCGCCGGCATGTTTGCCTCGTTTTGTACGCTCCAAGCCCAAATTGAATGACTCCACCAGCACTGTGCACGCTTTGCAAGGTGGCAGTTTAGTGGATTTATCCTTGAGTTTTTGTGGTTCATCAAGTGCAATTGCAATTGTTATGAGTGGCAGCACAAAACATATTTTCAATAGCATATTATGGTGTTTTGGTGATTCGGCTAAAGGTTTACGTGTATTTAATTAGGGTTGTTGACGAGGTATCGACTTATCGATACCTGAAAAAAACGCGTGGCATCGATACCAAAAGCTTTGTGTGATAAGATAGCATTCAAAATACTTTTCATATATTTAAAATATTTTAAATTTNATAATTTCATATTTCTATTATAACAATAAAATCTTTAATAAACAGTAAAGCAGTTTTATTGTTTAGAGCACTATTAAAAAAATAGTTATACTTAATGTTTTTTATTTAAATATTTAACACCCGATATACGTATTGTATTGCAAAAAACCTTAATAACAGTTAAGTAAATAGTTTGCTACCACTTTATGTTTAAGGCTGTGTTGAGCTTCTCCACTGCATGATAGCTGGTATGAAGTAGGCTTTGGGACTTATCAGTTTGTGTGCCATCAAGGAAATCGGTATATATATGCTTGGTATGGGCATTATCCGGATTGGAGCGCGGTAGTTGCTTATAGAGCTCCTCCAGCTGTTGAGTCAGCTCGCGTACATGTTGTCCTGTGGTGGGACGCACTTGGGCGCCACCGTTGATGCAGCCGGACGGACAGGCCATCACCTCAACAAAATGATAGCCCGGCCCTTTGCCACGCTTCAGTTTTTGCATTAGATTTTGTATATTCCGAAAGCCGTTCGCAATGGCAAATTTAAGTACGATCTTTCCATCCTTCTCCAAGCTAATTTCAGAAAAGTCTCGATTGCGCAACGCTTTGAATTGGAGTTCATTTGGTGTCTCTTCGTTGAACAACTCTCGGGCGGCATATTTGTAAATATGTTCCGCATAGCCACCTGACATGGTGGATTCGTGTGCCCATACCATAGCCTCAGGCGGCTGATCCGTCCAAGGCCAATCCATGTCTGAGGGTGCGAATTGCTGCAGCGTTTGCTCCTCTGTCTGGAGCATTTGTTCCACCTCAACTGGAAAGCAAAAAGCGAATTTACAACACATAGTTGAATATAATACGCTTCTTACTTACTTGAGGTAATCACACAGTCTACGTCCCTTGAGCTGTTCACCTCGCTGTAGAAGTCTTCGCGAGACGCCTCCAGTTTCTTATCGTAGCAGGGCATAACTGTGACATGATAGATCCGAGAGCCGGACACGCCCAGTTTCTCCGCCAGCATCTGTTTCACGAGCACGCCCATTATTTGTTGTGGCGAACGCGTTGTCGCAATGTGGGGCAATATAAAATTACCATGGGTCTTCTCGGCATAGCACACCCAGCCGGGACACGAGGAACTCAACATGCTCAGATTGGCATTATCCCGATAACGCTCAACGAACTCCTGCCGGCATTCCAGTAACGCCAGATCGTCAGCAATCTTTGTGCTCAGCACATAATCGGCGCCCAGCTGTCGCAGATAGCCGGACAAATGGCGAGCCGCTTCTTCGACGCCAAGCTCAAAGCGATGGGCGAGACTTATTAGCGGCTGCACCGCAATTGTAAACACAATTGTGCGCACTTGGTCACTGTCGCCGGATGCTTTAAGTCTTTCGTTTTCGCGCAACACCTTGAGTAACTCCTCTTGGCTTTGCTGTGTGATAAGTACGCCTTCCGCGGAGGTTATGCAGCCGGAGCAGGCGAGGCAATCTTGTAGTGTGATCTCAACCTTCTGCAGCTTTTGCTTGCCGCTCTATTAAATGTAAAATATTCGAAGTCAGCTATAAAACACATTTATAAACCTTCTGTACCTCTGATTCCTCGTAATAGCCATCCGCTTGTACGGTTATTTTGGATCCAGTTTTTGACTTTGTCTTATCTATTGTCACGGGCTTTATGCACTCCTGAAATTAATGGCATTAATTTAATTGCTTACAGCTTTGAATTAATTACCAGCTCACCTGTGAAGGCGTTATAAAATCGTCCAAATCGGTTAACTGCAGCGCTCCACTGAATCGCGACATAATTTAAACTTTATTATGATTTGCGATTCTAAAAAAAAAAAAAAAAAAACGCAACGAGTGTGGTCGAATCATATGTTTTAACGTTAACGTGAGAATGGCAAATCGCGCACCGAACAATAAACAAATTAGTATTCATTTTAATTTTTTGACAGGTTCTGCAGGAGTACACAAGTTAGAATTCAAAATTTATTTTTTTTTTCGACAATTACTATAAAGCCCGCAGATAAAATTAAATTTATTTTGATGCCTGTACTGCAGCCTTGACAGCCCTGCTGTGCTCAGCAACAAACCAAACAGTTGGTTTTAGTCGATGTGGCAACGTTGACACGGTTCTCCTACGAAAGCATTTTATTTCCACGTTAAAGACGCAGAACACTTTTTATTCCAATGGGGCGAAGTAAATTCGTCTCATCTGCGCCAAAAAAGGTAATCCACGCAATTGAGGCTATTCGTAACACAAAAAATGCATTGTTAATTGCTGTTGTAATTTGCAGGTGATGCAGCACGGCGAGTTTATAAATCGCATACGAAAAACGCTTTACTATGGAGGTGTGGACACAACGGAGGCGGATATGGAAGTATCCATGCCATTTGCAGAATATGCCGCCGATCTATTCTCGGAGCCACATCGCGGCCACTCGCTGCATCGTTTGAGTTCAATTGCGGCTGGAAAAACCCATGCAACACCATGCTCCCTCATAATGGCGCTTATCTACTTGGATCGCTTGAATAGCATTGATCCCGGCTATGGCTACAGAATCACGCCACAGGAGCTATTTGTGGTGTCATTGGTAAGTGAAATTTGTTGTTCACGCTTTGCCAGCAGCTCGTGGCAGAAAACCTGTTGATTGATAACCCACCTTACGCGCAATAACGCATACATACATATTTGCGTGCATGTGTGTGCGCACAATCACTGAAAACACCAGTACACTAATGCTAAGAAATACACACACATACTTACACAGTCAAAAGCGTTCTAAAGCAGCGTTGCCCATAATGAGTGAATAATGTGAGCGTGTGTTTGTATGATCATTGTGTTGCTTGGCATTTATTTTAAACTAAATGAGGACAGCTGGCAGCTAAAACTGATAAGTCGTATTGACTGCATTGCATAGCATGCATATTTTTGTATATATAACTGTATGTTATATATGCAGTCTGTTATATGCAAGTTTTTGTTATATACAGTAGAATTTTTTGGCTGGTAGTCATGCACAAAGCTGTGACGTCACAGCTATGTGATTAATGCGCTTTCTAAATTCCATAACGAGAAAATAAGATGATTGTTATTATTTTGATTGTGGTTGGGCATTACATTTACTCTTAAATTATAACTAAGAACAGCGCTGCATTGCGTTGCACACATTATTTATGTAATTCTTTGTTATTTATAGCATTTTTGGTATTTGGCTTTTGGCCAGTGACATCACATGGTTACTCATAAACTTGTTTTGTTTTGTGTTTTTCTTTTCGACTTCCAGATGATTTCAACGAAATTCTATGCCGGCCACGATGAGCGTTTCTATTTGGAGGATTGGGCAAAAGAGGGCAACATGACCGAGGAAAAACTGAAACAACTGGAACTCGAGTTTCTGACAGCCATTGTAAATGCATTTATCATATTTCTACTTGAAATTATAATTATTAATTGTAAATTTTGTTTGTGTTGACAGGACTGGAAGATATACATATCGAATGAGCAATTTTTTGAAAAGCTGAGCAGCGTAGAGCGAACGCTGGCACAGCGTGAGGGCTTGCGGCGTGGCTGGCTAACCTACAGTGAACTGATGCAGCTATTGCCCAGCTTTACGTTAATGAAATTTCTACTAAATAACCTGGCTGTTTTGGCCCTGAGCTATGCGGCAAGTGTGTTCACAATTGCGGGCGCATTCTTCATTGCCAGCCAGCTGCCGGGCACACTATGGCATCGACGCAGCGATATAGGAAATGCCACGGCAACTGTTAACCCAACGCTCAATCCACTGAAGCCCATTGTGACGCCCAATGCCACAGATGCTGCGCCCGTTGGGCTGGCAACTCGAGCGGGTGCTGCACGCAATGACAGTTGCAATGCTTTGAATGTGGAAGCCGAACTTATGAAACTGGAGCAACAATATTGCGACGAGGAAAGACTGATTGCACTACAACGTAGGCAACGCGAGGAGCGACCCCCAAATCCTTTGTTACCGCCCAACTATCGAATGGACTATGCCACCAAGCAGCAGGACAACACCGAACATTGGCTGAACATCAAGTCACAATACAGCGATCAACGTCATTCGGCAAATAATTGGAATTGGAATGAAACCAGGAACACATCCGTCTTTTGGCAAGTCCTCAGCGAAGCGATATCTCATCAGTCGTTCTTGGTGCGCTGGCCGGAGCTGTGGCCAAAGTTCATCTAAAGTACGAGCCTCAATATTTCCTTCAACTCTCTTTTTCTTTTTTATTAAGAACAACATAATTTGTTCAATTTTACTTTGCGTGAGCAATTCTTTAAATAGTGTCAAATATTTAATTTGGCACACTAATAAATTATATTTTTTCAACAATAATAACATTTATAGTAATAATTCAAGTCCTTGTAATCGACTGTATAACACTCGTTCGAATTCCTCTAAAAGGATCAAATATACCCTTTTCACAATGTGAATGGGTAATTTAAAGGAAAAAAAAAAAAAAAAAACAATGAAAAATAAAGATTGATAATATAATGAAATGTATGAATTAACATTATCAATTTTATTTAATATAAAGGGACATTTTGTAGGTAAGTATTATAAAATTTAAAGCTTGAAAAGAGAGATGTTTTTTTTTTTTTTTTTTTATAAAGAAAATATTCTCTTAGTGAAAATCGCAAAGGACGGCGATCTTAGGTACTGCTGAAATTAAACAAGATTTGAAATTTTTCTTCAATTTAATATATTTATTTGTTAAGCTCTCTACAATTTGGACTTTGATATTGTACATAATGTTATTTTCTTTTTTTTTTTAATTTCTTGCTACGGGTTTACATATAATATGCAATTTCAATATATTTAAAGCCGTTCTTTTATTTTGGATTTATTTATTTATTTTTTATTTTTTTGGACAAATGGTTTTGGAAAAGCTTCAAGAAGTGAGGTGCATAGTTAAAGCAATTCGGAGGCACTTTACAGTGAAAGATGTAAATAATAATATTAATATTAATGAACTACTCGGCAGGCTTTAGATTAATATTAAGTTAATATAAGGTGTTTTCGCTAATCGTTAATGGATGACCATTGATTTAGGCATGTAATTCACTTTCAGCTAAGTTCACTACAAATATTTTGCTAGTTTTGATTCCTTGGTTTTTTTCTTGGACCTTTTGCAGCTACAATACATTGTCAATTTCGTATATATTTTATTAATTTGTTGTTTAAATTTTTACCACTAATTTGAATATCAATCCGAGACAGAATGAAAATAAATTGCTTAATTTGAGTTTTTCGGTTTTTCTATTTTGTTTTCTTTTTTTCTCTCTCTAAAAAGTGCAGTCAGGAAGTATATAATTGTAAAGCCTAGTTAATTACAAACACATTTCATCTTAAATAGTATTTAGTTAGTAGGTACATTGAGTGTCACTTTAGTTCGCTTGACTAAGTAAGAACTATGCAGAGCATTGTCCCATCTTTTAATCTCTTAAGACCCTAAAATTCAATAGTTGTGGCAATGCGGAAAATACAAGCACAAAAAAAAAAAACACAAATGATATTTTGTGTGTTTTGGGCAGAATGCGAACCCATTTTCTATTCAAATTGACCATTTACACTAGTTAAGACATTTACACTAAACAGCCAAATTAGTCCTCTGCCTTATTTTTTGATTCTTCACTCATTACCCACAAGGGACACATTCCGATCAGGCAGCCAGCTGTGATGCCAATGATGCGACCCTAGAAAAGAGCAAATATAAATATTAGTTTTAAGAATCATCTAGTTGGTAGGTACATACTAAAGGGCACGCTGCCCTATGCAGGGGTATATATCAATTAGTCTAAGATGTATGAATTAAAAGCAAACAAATCAAATTACGAAAAGTATTTTCTCTATGTAATTATTTGAGTATTTCCACTGAGTATTTCCTTGAAGTCTATTTCTATTTATTTTTTCTAAAGCATTTTCTCTAAGTCTATTTCTAAGTATTTCTTCTAAGCATTTCGTCTGAGTATAACCTCTAAGTATATCCTCTGAGTAATTGCTCTAATTATTTGCTCTAAGTAGTTTTTCTACTTTTTTCTTAGTATTTCCCCGAAATATTTCTTTTAATTATCTCTTCCAAGTCCTTAATGCTTAGCTGAACGATCATACACTTCACTTCACTTCACTTCACTACACTGAACGACTCACTCCCACGGAGCCCGGACGACTGAAGAAATGCTGCAGCTGCTGCCCTTTATATAGGGCGACTTTCACTCATACACTGGGTAGCGCTCAAATGTTGAGCTCGGTGCCAGGCAGAGGTCGTTGTAGTCGAGCTTTCAGTGACCAATGAGAGCACTCTCTGCTGCTGCAAGTATTCTAGCTTCGTTTTACTCAAATAGAAATACAAATACATATATAGACAACTTGAACGATCTTCTGCAATTAGGCAGTCAAACAGAGAGAGGCAGACTGTGATATAGAGAGGCAAGCAGAGAGACAGGTATACAGAAAAACGAACAGATATATAGGCAAACAAACACGTATAGTTAAATCGGATTACTCTGCCTAAGAATGGGTGTATGCTGGATATGCTAAATATTTGTTGTACATAAATACATATTTATAATTCTAGGATGACATAACAGAAGTTTCTTCTGTTAAGGACTAGAACTTTAAGAACTTCTGCATACTCAATTGCCACTAGCTCTTTTAGGAAGAAAGTGTGAACGAAATTCCCGCACTATGTCTATTCTGACTTTTTCATCTTGAATATTTTCATTATATATTCTTATATCTCTATTTTTTTAAATATTTTATA